GCATAAAATCAATACAACCCTTTCTAAACAGAAACTTACATTTTAATCCTGTATTACATCTCCTGTGACCAAACAAGAGGACGAGAACCTCACAACATAGAATCAACAGAAATCATTTAAGTATTGCTACTAATTGCCCCATTTCTTTCATTGCAGAGAAAATGCTTTTTAAAGTTTTCTTTATATGCTGTGAATTTGCAAGCTGATGAGAAAGAACGTCCCTTCTGTACGTGCTACATGTGAGGAGTGTCTACCGTCCATATGTTCCCCATAGGCTGCTTGTGTGTGAGAGGCTCTGCGGTATTAAATAGTGAAGCAATGCAGAGCAACTTCACAGGACTGTGTTGAAGGAGACAGAGCACACATGGGTCCAGCCCCACGAGAGACTGGGGCTCCTGTGTCGCAGCAGGATGTCTCACCCTGCATCCAAGGCATCCCCGCGTGCCCAGAGGCAGCAGGGTTTCTGTGTCTCAGTCCTCCACCAGCCCTGCTGTAGCACGGGATACAGGCTGCCTCGTGGGTTTCATTTTGCATTAAGAGCTTTCTCTTAGCATTAAAATGTGTCAGTAGGTCCCTTGTAGTCGGAGTGACTTCAGCTACTGCACGACTTAAGCACAGACTTGTGTTCCTTGATCAACTGGCTTAAATTGTATGTTTGGTTTTGATCTTGTCATATAACTGTTCTTCCTGCATCTTCCCAAAGGCTTAATGTATCTTTTCTCCTGTTCATGTGGCACATTGAACATTGTGTGAATGACCCGCACATCCGTAAGAAGATCTGCAATAGATGGTGTTCCCAGTACTTTACCTGGCTCTCATTTCTTTGTGCGCATCTTGTGTTTTGGGGTTATTATGCAGTGCACACATACATGTTTCTGGTGGTGTTTTCATAACAACAATCATTCTCAGTAGCTCCATACATAAAGAGAACAAACCATTTGGAAAATAAATGAGGAACAGAAGGGCTTAGAGATCAGACATACAAAGCCTAATTTTTCGCAATGAGTTATAGCTCTGTATTTCATTCCTGGCTCTTATGTTCCTCAGTGCCAGTGCTCCTGTTTCACGTGGGTACAAACAGCTTGTCCTCTGGGTTTTAAGTTTACAGAAATGAGCTCATCTCTGTTGACCTAAAACAAAATCGAGGCCAGAGTTCCAGATATGGGATTAAATGTTGGTTATTTTATCAGATGTGGTTTGATCGCATTTCTAAGGAATGTGTGCTTATTGTGTCTGTCCCATGAATGCTAACAAATGCTAAAATAAGCAAAAATAGTGAAAAAAAAATGAATGCTGCACATTCAAAAGCTCAGTTTCACAGCCATTGGGACTAGACTTTTAAGCTGCAGAACATATACAGCTATCAGTTACATTAATTGCAATTGGATTTCAGGCTTAGTATCCCAATTTGATCAACACTTTTAAATGTAGGCTTTTCATGCCTTACTGTTGAGCAGTTTGCAAGCAAGCACTGAATTTTCACAGCTGGCTACTTGAATTTCATGCATCGGTAGAAATGCTGATTTTGAGGATTCACTGAAGGCAACTGATAAAGCTCCTGGGGACTTGAGTGGAAACAGGAGCAATCCAATACCTTAAGAAAAAAATAAGAGAAAAGAAAAAGATGTTTTAAACAGCTGATATATAGTGCAAAATATTCAACTGATTGATTCAGGTGACTTAGCACAAGGAACAAATGTTAAAATGACCCAAATTAAAAGGGAGTCATTTCAGTAGGAAATCTCCTGAGGGACACATTCTCAAACTAGCATACAGTCGTGGTGAATATTGCCTAAAACAAAAATCATCTCCATCCTATAACTGATCCACAGATGAGAGATCACAGGTTACTGCTGTCGGGTATCAAGAAGAGCAACTTTTCAAATCTAGCACTTTTGATCAAGGGCAGCACTTCCACTCCTGAGCTTAATCTCTAGCAGAGAATTTACGAAGAATAGCAAAGCAATGATTAAAAATATCAATAAACTACACCTTGAACGACTGCCATGCAGGAGGCGAGCTTTAACTATCCTCATTTTATAAATGGGAAAATACAGGCAGAGAGCTGCTAACTTGGGAATGATCCTCGGGCAAGTCTCCAACAGGGCTGGGAACGGAAAGCAGGGACACATCCTCCCATCGGCCACAGCCAGGAGTCCTCAAATGCAGCCCATGAGCTCCTACCTGTGGCCTGTGAAGCCTCGGAACACAGCTCACAGTAAAGCTTAAGTAGGGTCATCCTTGACTGAACTAGCTCATTACTGAGGTGGAAGCAGCTTTAGTTTACATCTTTTTAGTAGCCTCTTGTAGACCCCAGCTTGAGGAGTTACCAGAATTCATCCTGAATGAACGAGCAGGGAATTCTGGCACTGGGGCCTGTATCCTGATGCACAGAGGCCTCCTCGGAGGTATGTTGGGCTGTTTTGCCATGAGTGTATCACGCTCGTTTGCGGTGATGAACAAATAAAACCTGGAGCTCTTATGGTTCTTACATGCCTTGCCAAGCACGCTCAGCTTTTCATTTGCACTTTATTTCTGAGATGCTGCATGGACAACTAAACTAATCAGGCCTGCAATAGTAAATTGAGAGGCTACAGGGTAAATCTCATTATCACTGAATACGCTCAGTTACTGCAGCCCATTCTTTGTATATTAAGCCTTGTTACAATGCTAATTAACAATGTGCATGGGTGTGTGTGTTTTAAAGGGATTTTAAAAAATCATCGCAAGCACTGAAACAGCGGCTGGTGTTAGGCAGAGGAATAATACATTTCCTGGGAGTAGGAAGATGTATCTACATCAGTTGTTTTTGCAAAAATAGGGGCTTGCATAACTGCTTTTTCTTTTTCTTTTTCTTTTTCTTTTTTTTTTTTTTTTTGTGCATGGCATGCAAAGCTTTCAGGCGCAGTGGATGAGATAATGTGTTTTCCAATGCACTTACCAAGGTCATCCATGAAAAAATTATTTTTAAATAACATAAATAAATAAATAAATAAATAAATAAATAAGGAAAACAAAGCTGGGTAGAGAATTCTCAAGTAAGATCATCAGGTATCTTTGTTGTCTGTACGTATTCAAAGATTTCAGTGACCTTTCTCACAGTTACATAAGCATATGGAGAGGAAAACAAACTCTTATTAAATGCTGTAACACATATGGTCTCCTGACAGGATGTTCCAAAGCATGCAGTGATTTTACAGCCCATATGCACTGTACAGCAATTCCTTGGTCTCCAAACCGGAATCAAAAATAGCCTCTCAGCGTGAACTCCACATTCTTTCTCTTTTATGGGCAGTCTCTGTGTTAAAATTAAAATACATACTACACCATGTCTAGCTGCCTGTAACAGCAAAAATCACCACGTGCTTGAGACTTAATAATTGATAGTGTGACGTGCGATGTGGTATGGAAAGAAAGGACCAGCATTTGGAGCAAATGTTTCTTCCATCAGTCTTCCAGAAAGGCAAGAAATGCAGCATCAGCAATTTTATTTCCCTTGCACGGGAGGTATGAACACTGTCCCAAAGGCAAGGAGGACGTCATAAAGAAGATGTCACCCAGGCTATCTGGAACTCCCAGGTGCGGGACATCAGACCTTTCTTTGCCAAGGTCAAAGTTGGATGTCCATGGTGTCCATGCTCATGTTGATGCCCATGTCTGTGTCCATGTCCATGCCCATGCTCATGTCAGTTCCCGTGCCCATGTTGGTGCCTGTGTTCATGTTGGTGTTTGTGTCATGTTGGTGCCCATGTCTGTGCCCGTGTCTGTGCCTATGCCCATGCCTGTGTCTGTGCCTGTGCCCTTGTTGGTGCTCGTGCCCATATCCATGGTCGTGTCCGTGTTCATGGCCATTTCTGTGTCAGTGCCCATGTCTGTGTCACTGGCTATGCCCATGGCACCCGAGTCGGTTTGGTGTCCATGTGCATATCCATGTTCATATCTGTGCCCGTGTTCATGTCTGTGCCTGTGTTGGTGTCCGTGCCCATGTTGGTGTCCATGCCCGTGTCTGTGCCTGTGTCCATGCCTGTGTTGATGTCCATGTCCATTCCATGTTCATGTCCATGCCTGTGTTGATGTCTGTGTCCGTGCCATGTTCATGTTCCTTGCCCATGCCCATGTGCCTGCCTGTGTTGGTGTCTGTGTCCATGCCTGTGTTGACATCCATGTTGTGTCCATGCCCATGTCCATGTTGTGTCTGTGCTGTGTCTGTGCCGTGTCCATGCCCATATCCCTCCCTGTGTCCACGTTCATGCCCGTGCCATGTGAATCTCCATGCCCGTGGCCGTGTCCATGCCGTGCCCATGTCCATGCCCATGCCCGTGACCGTGTCCGTGCCCGTGTCCATGCCCGTGTCCATGCCTGTGTCCATGGCTGTGTCCGTGTCCATGCCTGTGTCCATGCCC